TGTGTTCATACAGAATTTGTCGCTTTAAGTGTGGGAAAAGAAGCCACAGCTCCGATAAGCAGAGCTTGGGAAGAGAAAGCCCCGCTGATCCCATGGCCTTGCAAAAAGTAGGAAACCCTCCTGGCTTCTACCAACCTGCCCAAGACGCCCCACATGGAAACAGCCCTGGAAGATGGTGTTTCCTGAGTGTGCAAGAATTCAAATTGCCAGATCATTTGTTGCTTTTATTCTCTGAAAAAACAAGTTTGTTTTTCTGTGTTATGAAGAGTTCAGCAGCTACTTAGACGTGTTCTCTTGGACACCTGAGGAACAAGATAGTAGGGCACGAGCAAGGACCTTTAGACCTCTTCAGAGCAAGTTTGCGGGAAAAAGCACTTGCCAGCAAAGTCCACAGAAGCAGATACTGTATGATTGCACTGGAATTATATCACCATTTTCAAAGGGATTTAAGATGCAAAGCCACCTGTGCCAGCTGAGCACTGGGTAAATCCAAAGTGCCTGAACATAATACATTCTGCAGTGAGAAGACACTGACACCAACAGAGTGAATGATCATATTAAAATGCACATTTTAAGAACCAGGAGATTTAAGAGGTAGCTGCAGAAAAACGGACCTTACCCTAGGCATTTTCATAGTGTAGTTTAACTTCCCTGTTTGGTCTTAAAGATTTGAAATAACTTGTCTTTCCTATCTTCTGGCAGCCAGACCGTCAGTGGTCAGAAAAAGTGGATGCCGCTTTTCCTGGGAAGAGTGGCTCACACTGCAGCCCTGGTTGTAGGGATTTGAAACAAGTCCTTGGGCATCTTCTAACACTCACTGAACCAAGAACACGCAGGCTGGGCTGCAAATGAAGTTTTACTGACAGCACCTCTAGGCTGTCTGGATCTCATTTTGATTTCCTGATCATGTGCTCCACGGGCACTCAGAAGCCTGAAGGCTTAAAATCCACTATCAGTCTATTTTATTATCGCTCAGAAAGCAATATTGCAATATTTCACCAATGGCCCAATGAAAGCTTTACTCTTCTGAGCATGCATATAACAATGCTCTTCCACATTAAGAACTGCACAGAAAGTGACAAAGTAAGGCAGAAAGGATAAAGAGATTTCCTAACTAGATTTGCTGGCGGTTCTCTGGCATCACACACTGGTATTAAAGATCTGCAGTCTTATTTCCTCATACGGATTCAAGGAGTCCTCGCCCCCTTGTCACTCTGCAGCCTGGGCTTAAGCCTGGCAGCCAGTCTGGGGACTGCAAACGCAAACCTTCTCCTTGCTTTGCACCCCTCAAGGCCCAAACTTCTGATTCTCGTTATGAGAATTGAATTATTTTATTGCACCAAGGATTCATTAGGAGCTAATACATCCTGCCTTTACCACATTCTTATTGCTCTTGCTGATAAAGTATTTACTGCAGTTCAGCTTATCTTGCAGCTAGGCCAAGCTGGGAGAAAGGACTTCAGGTGCAGTGCCTTGCTGACACCAAAGATGCTGCTAAACTTTCATGAGCTTCCTTCCACAGGTCACCTTCTCTTCCTTCACCATCATAAGAAGATCTAAGCAGGCCGAGGTCTTGTTCCTGCTCTAAAACACGGAGGCTCATAACACAGAAAAACAAACTTGTTTTTTCAGAGAATAAAAGCAACAAATGATCTGGCAATTTGAATTCTTGCACACTCAGGACTTTTAAACCTTCCTCTGCATTTAGATCATTTTTAGTTTCCATGTTTGGTCTTGGTGTTGTCATTTCTGAAATCTTCTCAAACCAGTATGCTCATGTGAAAAGTTCCTGCTAAATTAACCTCTGGAATGGAGAAGATGGTAGTTTTAACTAAGATACCACTGGAAGATTAATGGCATATCTAAAGAGAGCTCCAGGATGGAGCAATCGCATATTGCACCATCAAACTGTGATACAAATATCCCAGCATTTATCTGGCAACTATAACAACACACACACATCTATCTGTCAATCAAGGCACTTTTTGGATGACACTGGATCTCGCTGTTTTAATATCCCTGATCTGGCACAAAAAAGGCATCTGTGAACACTCTGGTCCTATGGAATTCACACCGATTTCCTAACATAGCTGAAGTTCACCCTCATCTAATTCTTTGCAGAATCAGAATCCCATAATCCTTCGCAGATGTTAAACACTGCAGAAAAGCACCACACTTTGGCTTGCATCTCACTGCGAGCTCAATGTCAAGATGTACTGTGAGAAAAAGGAAGTTAGCTCTAACGCAACAAGAAATGTGAGCAGGCTGGTTCCCCCCACTACCTGATTTCCAAATGTCTATGTAGCAACTGGTGAATAAAGAACAGGCAACATTCAAAATTATGACATCAGATTTATTTCTGCCTGGAGAAGCAAGCTCTTCCATAAACACTACTCTGGTATTAATTTTATTCAATATTATGGGTTCATTATTCCTGTTTAAAAAATAATTCCCTGGCACAGCTCATTTTTGCCTATCTCTAAGTCACTGTTCTACCAGCCTTCTCTTCGCCTGCTCACAGCCACCCTTCTCAAGCAGCTCCTGCAAAATTCCTTGCAATTGCCTCTCAAACACTCATGCCATGACCCTAGAAGCACCCAGCAGCAGGCAGAAAATCGAACTTCTTTAAAACCAGTGGTTTTATTCGAACTCCGAAGCACCTTTTCAGCAAATAGAAAACTCACTGAAAAATGCAATTACCATTTTTGCAATGCAATTTTCCTGTTTGCCAAGTTGTTTTGATTGGGGCAAAAGGTAATAATTTAGGGGAGACTGAATTAGACTAAGTGCTGCTATTACCAATGGCATCTTTTATATAGCATTTGTTAAAAACCCTTAACTTTCAATTACTTTCTTCTATCAGAGAAGATCTTCTCAGATCAAGACTGTCCTTCCTTGCACAAAAAGAGACATAAGCTCTTCTAGGAAGGGATCTCTCATCCCCACTTAGTCTACTTAGCCTAAGGAAAATAATATTCTCTGAGGCAGAGCCCTTCCAGAATTCCCTTCCAATGGGAATTTTCACCACCATATTCAGGCATCTTACTCCCTTGCTCCCTTTCTCACAGACAAATAAAAATTTCAGGAGAGACCCCTGAACCGGTGGTTACAGAACCACCTGGTCACGGGGGCACACAAGGAGATATCGCTCCTCAGACCAAGGCTTCCCACATGCTCCACAGAGGGTCACAAAGTCAGCAATTTACATCTACATTTCTTGCAATTTTCTCTAAGAGAATAAAAATAGTTTTTGGCGGGGAGGTTGTGGCATGAAAAAATGAAAAAAATGAAATTCACCTTGAGCCAAATGCATTTTTCTCTCCCCTTTTCTCCCCCCTTCAACTACTAAAGCAGAAGAATCAATTATGCATGTGCAGCCTTTAAGCCAGTGTTGCATACCAATGGGCACAGCCACGTCTTCCCTTCCACTGCACTGAGTTCTTTCTACCAGGCTCTATTCATTCAGCTCACAAAAGAAAGCATTTCTAACACAAATAGTCAATGTTTCTAGAAAACTGAAAACATGTTCTCAAATTACTGCTATCATCTGTGACCTTCCAATTCTCAAAAAGCAGGTGAACCTGGTTAATGACTAAAACACAAACATCTGCTTACCAAAAACAAAGGATTAATAACACTGAAATTTCACAGTTAGTGGTGTGGAGAGTCCACCACAGACATGTGATTATGTTTCATAACACTGTATCCAACCCAAATTTAATGAAACTAAAATAAACATAATATTGCTATTCCCTCCGTTATTTTAAGCCACCTATAATTTTTATAAACAACAACATCAAAGATATATCACCAAATTTTTGGAAGAAAAAATAAACAGATGCAAGGAAGAAATATGGTCTTTTACATGTTTTTACCATATATATAGATACACATATATATGGATGTGTGTGTACATATATATGTAATATATAAATACAAATACACACACATATATATACATATAAAATGTACTACACTTCCACATAAATCTGAAAAAGGCAAAAATATCTGCAGTTATATAAAGTTAGTTTTAGGCTAAGCAGCTAATGATATTGCTGTGTAATACCTTCCACGGAGTTCATACAGTTTTTATATGAAAATGAGGAGAATGCATGAAATATTTAAGAAATTGCCCATTTGTTACCAAAACTACCTTGTCATGTAAATGAGCAAAGGGTTTTGAAATTTCAGATAAAAACATGTCCCAAAATTTGGCCCAAGATGAATTCTTTATTGTTCCCCCAGCATTTGCATAAAATTTCTAAATGTATTGGACTGGTAAATTGAGTATCACCACAGCTACTTTATATTAAAAATGTGCAACTTTCCTGAAACAAACACATCACCATCCTCCTGTAACATTTCAAAATCATGGAATTCACATTACACCAAACCTGTGACAGAAAAGCCAGTTCGGGTACAATGAACTTCAAAGGCCACCTCAGAGACTTGAAAATTGGCAAATTCATCTAATATTCAGCGTGGACATTAGTCTGCAGCACAAACCACCACACAACCCACAGATCTGCCATTTTAGAAGAACTCCTCAGGATCATAAAGGCTAGAGACAGGCTGGAACAAGGCAGTAAGACCCAGCTAACTGAAAATTTTTGAAATGTCATTTTTCACTCAGAAGATATGAAAAAGAGCATTACTTAAGAAAAAGACTTAATGATTTGTTAAAGAATTACCCAGTTTTGAAGGTTCATGGCAAAATGACAAGTTAGGAATGTTGGTCTTAAATAATAATTAAAAAAATAGGTGAAGTGAAAAAAAGAAGTGAAACCATATATTTAATTATAGCTTCTCAGAAAGGTAACAGTAATTACTAGGGGAACTGTAATTTTAAGACAGTATCAATATGACACATATAATTACAAGGAAAATAATAATGAGTATATATTAATTGGCAGAATATCTCAATACTGAGAGCTACATTAAACATTTATTTAAACAGAACATTGCGTACATTCTTAGTTACATTTTAACACAATACCCACCTTAGGACACACGTGTAGAAACCACTGTCTTGCAACTCAACCGAGTGAAACCATATTGAATCTTCATCCTTGCTCATCCTAACTTCAGAAAATATAATGGGTTCTTCTAAATCTCCTTTGTTTTTGTACCACATAAGCCTAAGACCTGTGCTTTGGGCCATGCTATAATTAGTTCTGATATAGCTGTAGAAAAGGGCACATTTCACTCGGACTGGTTCACCTGCCAAAGCCATGTATGTCTTGAGATCCACTGACCAGTCAATGCAACCATCAACTGAAAGCAAAACAATAATAAAGAAAGATTAGATACAAATATATATATATATATATAGTTTTTTAAATAGTGAGATGCAGCCTGCGAAATGCAATGCAAATCATCAAAGAAAAGAACCTTTATTTTACAGCATTGAAAAACCCAATGCAGCTATTGGCAGTTAAAGTGTTTTATAAACCTTTTTACGTTACATGTAAATGCAAAATGTGTAGACAATTAATAGACCACATTAGATCTACTCAATTCCATTTCCTTAGGGAGTCATTATTTTCATACCCCAAACACTAACTCTTTAATAAATAATCCAAGTGTTTTCACCTTAACTACTTGACCCAATAAACCAGTTTTGAATTCTCTAGTTCCTTGCTGGAGGAAAATTTACTTTGACATCTGATCTCATTCTATCTCTTAAAACTTCCCCATTCACCCCCTGCTAATTATCCGTTACACAAAGAAAATCAGTGTCAGATGTGACATAAATAATTTGATTTTCAAAGCCGATCCACACAGGTCTTTTTTCTGTACCCCGCTCCAGCTGACAAGGGACGTTCGATACACAGAGAGGTACAACTACGACACGCGACCGACGCAATGAAGCTGCAGAAAGGAACAGTGCAAACATGAGAGGGGATCTTTTGATGTTCTGTTCAGCAAAAACATTTGAAGCACTTTTCTTGGCTCTAGAAGGTTTTATACGTCACTTGATCTTCAATCAATCAAATGGGTACTTTGTATAATTTATTGCTCATATCCAGCTATAAGTAATTGGAACATCTTTAACCTTGAGGTAGCTGTTCAACTTGCCTCTTCTGCATTTCTAGCAGCAATTCTCAAACTCTAAATGTTAGACGCTCTCGTGTACTCTTTATTTCACACACATCTTCAATAGCAGTGAATTATTAGCTGAGTTTATTTACTTCCTAAAAAATGTACAGATCCAGTAGTGTACACATGGTGGAATATCAAATTGGGTCTCTTAGTGGCTTGTACTTAATTACGTGCCTATCATTAGTTTAGGCTCCTCCTGAATGCTTCAAACATAGCCTTGCTAAATGGGAGGCTCTAATTGCACATCTCATCATAGCAGCGTCGGCTGTATTGTGGCCACGTGAACCAAGGAACTAAGAGACATTTTAAACCAGTTCATTCATCCACCATGACACCCAGGTCTTTCCAAGGAACTAAGAGACATTTTAAACTAGTTCATAATGCTTAGAGCCCCAACCACAAAACATTCACTCCAAGTTATGTACACCCTTTTTCACCACTAACTGCACTTCTTATTGCCGTACTCCTTTTGTTGCTGACTTAAAATAAAACTTTTCATGCTTCATGTTTCTAACCGCAACTGTTATTGACATAAAATTAAAGGTTGGTTTAAAAAAAAAAAAAAAGACTTCCTTTTATTACTGCAAAAGCATTTCTTTCTCCGCATTCCTCATCTCAGAGCTTAGTCCTACAAAAAAACAGGACAACTTTGGCTAATTATTACTTGAAAGTCGTATACTAATGTGTTTGGACAATTCTGTATTGCCACTGCATCCCCTTCACATTTATAACATCCTTCAGGGCAACAAGCAGGCAGAGCTGGCCTGCAAAGCCACCACACCTATTTTTTACATTAAAACATGGTTCTGATGTTATAAATGATTTTATACGGGCGGCTTAGAAGGCTTTTGCTTTGAGTGGTTTCAATGGGTTCCTCACAAAGGCCCTGTGCTTTTCGCGAGCTCTGCTCTTTCAGCTTCACAATTAAGGGCCGCTGAGACTTGCAGCCTTGTTTCCTCAGCGCGGGATGCGAAAGGAAACGCTGAGCTCTCCAGACTGCTCATCCTTACCCTTTAGGACACACAGACACTCTCAAGGGCACCTTTTTATGCTGTAATTTCGCAGTTACACCGATAAAAGCCAAAGCTAAGGCTGAAATGAGTAGAGGTGCCTGGAACTGAAATTCAGATCCAAACTAATCCTGCCAGTCTAATTAATTCTGTCAATCTAATCATGTCAGGCCATCAAACGCTTTCAGATGCTGGGTCAGCAAAGCCAAATAACAGCAAAGAGTACTTGCCCCGAGACACACATGCAAACCTGAGTGTCAGGTGGAAAGGTTCCGGTTTCCAGAAACACCACAGCAGTTGCAATGTAAAAGTGATTAGGAAGAGTTATGAAGTGCAGTATTGACCTGAAATGGAAATCCAGCACTGGAAACTGAAAACCCTGCTCTTTTTAAGAAAATATTTCTCCCGTATCGACATCTAACAACTTACCAATGCACAGCTGAAAGCTTAAACATCCTTCAGCATCACTCAGTCTGCCTCATCATTTACTTTCATTGGAAAATGTCTTCTCACCTCCAGTGCGTACTTCTCTATTGCTACATATCCCAAGACACAGCTGCCCAGTACCTGCTTCAGCATATATGTGCTGAAGAAAGCACACCCGAATGGATGAAAGAGAATTAAATATAGTTGATAATTTACAGCCGACCTGATAGACTGGCTCAAGTCTGCCCGTGGCAGTGGGCAGAGGGAGACTGAGGGGCTGGTGATGCCACCATAGCTCACGTGGGTTAACAAGACTCTGTTGGCCAACCCTCACTCAGGGTCTGCATCTCAGAAGAAGAAAAGGAAGAAAAAGACATTTGATGCTAGATCTATTTTCTCAGCTATTTGCAGTCGCCTTAGAGGAGGGTCAGGCCGGGAGGGGAGAGCCACAGCGGTGACGGGAGCAGCAGCCCGAGCACTGCCTCATCGCCCCGTCGCTGCCATCACGGAGAGGAGGACACCCTGGGAACAGAGCAGCGAGCTGCAGCAGGCCCTGCAATGTCTGCGGAGAGGAGAAGCCTCACAGAGCTCAGCAACTAAATCTTAATTATTGAAGAAAGACTAATCAAACAGAAGGTGCCTCCTTCCCCCCCGCTGCTTCTCCCGTTAAATACACGGCCGCAAATGCTCCCGCGCACAAAGCTGTGGAGCCTGAAATGCAGGTCGGGCTCCCTCGGCTCGGCGGGACGGGGCTCCGGGGCTGTCCCGATGCCTCCGGAGCATCTCCCACCGGCTCTGCGGCCGCCGGCGCCGCTCCTCGGGGCTGAGCCCTCCGCCAGCGAGAACAGAGTTTGCTGTCGCTTCTGTCAGACTGGCTCTCAGCGCGTAACGTAAGGAGGCAAAAATAATGGCATTAGAGGCGCTTATTATATAATAAATGCATATACATCTATTCTCTGCTACCCAATAATCAGCTGATCCTTCATAAGTGCCTGATTGAAAACTCATTCAAGACAAATCCCTCCATTGTGGGTGGTTTTTAGACACTTTCAATAAAGACAATTATTTGAAATAATCTCTAGAATTTAGACCATCGAGAGGCTATGGAAATACCATCCCCTTTTCAGCTTGGCTTCCCAAGGAGACGCGCTCGCCTGTCAGCCAGCCCGACTCCACAGCTTCCCGCCCCGCCGCCTGCACGCAATTCCCGGAGGATTCAAGAGTTTCCGCGTGAGGGTCCTGCATGGGCAGATCCGAGAGCCCAACGTGCCCCCGCGGCCGGGAGCGCCTTGGTGTCACCTCAGCTCTGGACGCAGGGGACATGGGAGAGCGGGCAGCAGCGCGGGCCACCACCGCCCTCACAGCCGGTGGCCCTTGGGAGCCACAGGGTCCCTGTGCGTCTTTGTGTGTTCTGGAAGGTTCCAGCTCGTGAACCCAAACGGGGCGAGTTGGCTGGCACCAGGTTACTGCACTTCCCCGCTAGCAATCACCCTACCCCACACCGCATCTCCCCCCTCTGCTTTCTGGTAATTTGCCATTATTCTTATTTTAAATAAATCTAGTTGTCTGGGGATTCTAGATGCATTTTAACATGAACCATAATAATTTATGAGCAATTACAGAAGAGCATGTACATAGTCTCTGAGTAATTTGTCTTTCTGCTTGCTGTCATATAAATAATTTTCACATTGCGAATCTGCCTGTAATAATTTTTGTAAGGATCTGTCACCTACAGCAATTTATACCATGGGATTGTTGAACATGCTTGCCTACCTTGTTACCTGAAACCTCATTTTAAATTGAAATCATCTTCAAATAAATAATTAAAAATAAATATACTAGCTAATGCACTAAATTTATTGCTCCACATAGCAAGCAAATGCACTGCTGACTGTAAATATTTAGTCAGAAAAATTGTCCTCTGATGTGGGAGTTATATTTTTATTTCTGCGCTAGCTACAGCGCCTGCAGAGCGAGTAGGGGCTGGTGCTGCCCGAGCGGCAGGGCCCGACGGCTCTCAGCAGTCAGGAGCAACGGGCCCAAGAAGCACATCTGGGTGTCCGTCCGTCTCTCCGGCTCCCTCGGACAACGCTTCTCCAACGGGATCCACCGGGGTGGTTCAGCTTCACAGCGAATAGTTACAGAAAAAGCCTCATGCGAAAAGGCTACGGTGGTGGTGGTGGCACCTCAGAGATGGGGTAGCGGGTGGGCACCTTCTCCAGGAGGAGAGGAGCCAGGAAAAGAGAAGGAAGCTGATGCTAAGGGCTGGTTATGCTTCTTTTCTATGAGTTACAGTCTCATCCTTCTTCTATTTTAGCCAAATAAATACTAGTTTTTGATTCTGACTATACACATATATTAAACTACATTTTAGAAAAACTCAAATATACACCCTCGGGGACACAGTAAATCAAAAACCTAGCTGTAAGATGAGGAACATTTGGAAAACAATCTGCGGTCTTGAGGGAAAGTTATCATGATTCAAGCTGGGTGAATTTTGCCCGTGTTTCTCCTATTTCCCACAAACAATTCTGATTATATAATTCATTTCTACCGCAGCAACACCTAGATTCACCATCATGAACTACAAGTTTGTTTTGCTGCAGAAACACAAAATTGTTAAGAAAAGGATCACACAAGGCCTGTGTACTTCCTCTGCTCTCATCTCCATCTTTCTGGCAATATTGAGACCACTGAAGTTGAACGGTTCAAATGTTTTGGATTTTCAAGACAGGTAAAGATGCAAACTTTTCACTAATTTTCACATCAAACAGCTATGAAGAAACTTCATTTGATTTAGAAATATACAGATATTTCTGCAAATCTGGCTCAAAAAATGAAGCAAAAAGACACTGACTTACACAGGCTGATTTTTTTCCCAATTTTTTTTTGAAAAAAAAAAAGATGGGCCAAGAAACTTCAACAACAATTTGCATATGCTTCATTCTTCATGACCAGCTTTTCTTACGAGCCACAATGCAGCTCAAATGTCAAAGACTCCAGCTGAACACTCGTAATTTCCTTTGAGGTCAAACAAACTGTAAATATACACTGCTAGAGGTCCAAACAACAACCAACTGCGCTGGCCTGGCTTACTTATGCATACAGAGCTGGGAGCATTTTAGTCTTACATTCAAAATGCAAAAGAAAGAACACGGTTGTAGATCATCAATCTGCAAATTTCTCTAGGGAGAGGAAAGAGCAGCTTGGACCCTGCAGAGCCTCCCTGCTTGCAGGAGCCACAGCATATTAATGAGATGGGGACTTAGAAATTCTACTTGAAGAAGCAAAATGCTGAAGTCCTGTCAGAAGAAGTTACTGGACAGGGTCGTTTCCTCCTATAGCTCTTGTCAGAGCAGCCCTGCAAGCCGACGGCTCTGGCGCCAGCTTTCCGGATGGCACCAGATCACAGGGATTTTCAGGAATACTTGCTGAGGGAGAGAAGGGCAAATCACTGCCACCAGGTAAGAGTTTGCTGGAGACAGGGAGCTCAGAAACATGTTGTGTGATGGAAAGATCTCTGATGTCCTCGTGCTCTTAACTACCTCTCCGGAGGGTGATGGGCTTGAAACAAAACTCTGTTGCGAAGCTCTGCTGGTTGCTCCCAGCCCATCGCTCTGCTTAGCAAAGAGGAAGAGGAGGGAGTGCATTAATGCGACTGTTTAAAATGAAGCATACTCCCTTAAAAAAAGAGAAGAGTTCAGTGACCTGGATCTGCTGCTCGCTTCAATTCCTGGTAACTTTTCAAAGAGTCTTCTCTGAAACAAACAGCAGAGACTGGAACTGACTGCGGCCTCAGCCCCTGGTGCAGCTGCCTCACAAATGCCCCCGTGGCCCTGGTTTCTCTGGGAAAGCTGGGAATAGCTGCAGAAAAGCTCCCACCTCTGCCCAGCTCAGTCCTTTCTCTGCGAAGTAAAGCCAAATCGGTGATCTGCAGCAAACAAGTTATCCAAACAACTAAGCATCTTTTCTTGTTTGTGGATCATCATTTCTTCATAGATACTCATGAAGTAATTTCCTTCTATCACTGTATTTTCCTTTCTCCTTTGCAAGTGAACGTTAAACCACCACCATATCCTTAGATTGGACTGGCCAGATCGGACTCCTGACGCTGTATCTGCTCTTGGATTGAACAAGAAGTAAAATCTTGCTGTTAAAATCGAAACTTAAATGCTATAAACAAACAACACTTCTCAGGCACACAACAAAACAGTGTGAACACAGGTATGGCCCCAAGAAACACTGCAAATGAGCTGCTCACCTACATCGAACTTCCTTCAGAAGATTTAATTGTGAAACTTAATGCTGTTTTTTTTTCCCTCGACTTATCTTCATTAATTTCCTTTGACTGACTTCAAATATGCAGCATTTCTGCCATTATGACTATTTGGAAGGTTGATTTTTAACATCTGAACCCCAATATTTTCACATAAGAAAGGTGATTAAACACTCTCAAAATCTACTACGTAAAAAACTCTTTCCAAGTTTCAAAACAGGGGAAGACCCGGCTTTTTGAGAGCAGCTTCCACACTAAGCATTGCCATCTTTGTCAGCTTTCTGGATCCCTGAGCAAATCAATGAAATGCCACTACCACATTCCCAGGATTTCTCCCTTTGTGAAGCAACTACACAAAGACAATTCCCAACCTCTCTGATACTTCTTGTAAAGTAGATACACACTGGTTCTTGTTTTCTAAGAAAAGGTAAAATAATATCTGATGTAAGTTATGAGTAAAATAGATAGAAAAGAATCCAGTGCACTTTTCAGGTAAGATACAACACTCTGGAAATTCTCTCCATACCTGGAGATACTGCAATTATTCTTTTAGGTGGAGCTGACTATTGATGACCTTTTTAAGGACGCTCTCTGAGTCGGTTTTAATATTCTCCAGCCGATCACATTAACCAGTGGAGGCTTTTGCACACTCTGTTCTCAGGTCTTTAGCACCATGCAAACTTCAGGAACAAAGCTGAATTCATTTTAATAATTGATGAACCTTTTTTCATTGCAGTCCCTTCAAATAAAGTTACTGAAAGTAAATGGAAACTAGATCCTCGATCAGGTAGCTGCAGTCTCAAGTAATCACACAATTAGGAAGCTTTATATCCACTGCTTGCTACTCCCAGCAGGGAATTGTAGGAAAGAACTGAATAATAAAAATTTAAAATGAAAGGCGAATGAAACTCCATTAACTTTGTTGTCCCTGTGGGGCAGAGGGACTGGTGTATGTGCAATAAATTATTTTATGCTCTGTGTGTCTTTCAGGTCCATGGATAGCTTGAGCTGCCCGCTGTTTGAGGGCAGACCAGGTTGGGAGAATGGACCCCACTGAACGCACCAGGCTCAGTCCATCTCCTCCTGCCCTGCCGGGGGTCCCCAGCCAACACGGCTCTGCCATGAGGACACTCACTGTGCTTCCCTCCGGGCACTGCCCAACGCTTGACAGAAGGAGAGAGCAAAGGGGCTGTCAGAAGAGGTTTTGGGTAATATCACACCTCATGAGGAGAGCCAAGGAGCCACTTTGGAATACAAAGGAAAGGAGGAAAAAAAAGAATGTGCAACTTCAAACCAGGACTTGTTCATGAGCAGAAAGGAGGAAGTAAAGCTCACTTGAACTTGAACAAATAACTAGCTTTGGTCACCTATTTTGTTTCTCTCCTATGACCCATTTGAGAATCGCCGCCATTCGCCATAACGCGGCCCTGCAGCGGCAAGGAGCCCAGCAGCATCTCCACTCACACGCGGAGCAGAAGAGGTTGGGGCCCGCGCTCCGGCCTCCGCTGGGAAGTCTCCTCTCATTCCAACTCGTCAGCTGCACACACACATTTCAACAGGAAACTCCTGCCTACAGACCCACCAAGTCTCACTTCAGTAAAACGAATGCTTCCAAATCAAAACGGTGGTTGCTTTACAGGATGACCATACATAGACTTGCTGGAAAGTTGCTTCACTAAAATGTGTCTGTAATATTGACAAATTACAAAGAAGTGGTTTCAGAATGAGGCATTTCTAAACAATAAACACCATTCTGAATACTATGGTTTCTATTTAAAATAAACAAACATTAAACTATCCTTCCTCCAAACTACTGTAATTTAATGCAAGGAAGTCAAAGGAAATACCAGTGAGAAATGAATCTCTGCAAGAGATTGCATCAAGCTGCAATGCAACGCTGTGCTCCGCAACAGCCTCACACAGGTTTCATTCCATGCTGTAAACATGCTTTTCCTAAAAACCCTGCGCAACAACCAAAAGCAGCAACTTCGCAGAGCACCGCTTGCTTTGGGATTAGGGAGGACAGAAGGGACAGAAGAAGCAGCGG